TATATATATATATATATATATATATATATATATATATATATATATATGTTTTAATAACATATATTTTTTCAATACACCATGTATTTTATTTCAGCACATACTAGTAACTATTCTGTGCATTTGAAAAAATAGTATAGGAATGTGTATCACATTTCTTCTTTAAAGTAGTAGCTATCTACTACATATGGAGATACATAGCTATGTACATAGCTATAGATATGTAGATACATAGCTATCTACATATGCAGACATCTGACTACAAATATGCTGTTGAAATCTTCTATATTCTTATTTCTAAAGGTCTTTTAGATTTGCTTGTACATTTGTCTGTTGATGCCTTCAGTTTATGCTGTTGCAGCTTATGTTTTTTGAAGCAAAATTTTTGTGTGCTTAAACATTTATGTACCTTGGGTCAGAACAGTATTTCAACGGTTTGTTTATTGATGCAGGTTTTCCAGTATAACTTTATTTCATTTCTCTTATCTCTGCCCTACATTTTTCTTTGTCTTTGTGTTCCCCAAGTTAAAGTCTATACTTTCATTTTCTATGGTCACATAGACAGTACTATTCAAAGATTTTTCATCATGTTACACTTTTATTGTTATATATTTCAGGTATGCATATAAAATGCATTTGTTGTCTGTCATTATTACCATGCTTTAAGTTATTAATAGAATTTATTTAAAAGTTTCTATGGTATGTAAACATCTTACTGTGTTTCAGTATAGGAAAGAGTTAAAATAAGCATCTAGAATTTTTAAATTAAAATGTAAACTGATATAGAAAAGTTAATACCTCCAACATACTCTGAGTGTTTTATGTCAATGTATCATATGATCGATTCAATTTGCAATACAAAATCATAAGTAAAAATAGAAAAACACAAAAAGGAAAGGAGAAAAAAATGAGTAAAATGAAATAAGAATAAAATATAAGTCAAGGGGATATACAAAAACAAACCTGATAGCTAGGGTCAGATGGAGGAGAAGGAGGACCTCCCCTATCAATGGACTTGGAGAGGGGCATGGGAGGAGTTGACAAAAGGTGGGACTGGGAGAGAATGAGGGAGGGGGCTACAGCTGGGATACAAAGTGAATAAACTGTGATGATATAAAAAATTAAAATTAAAAAAATTAATAATTAAAATATAACAGAAAATTTAATAGCCATGATTACTACAAGTACATTAATATTAAAAGAAATACATTTCATTGTGGAAAGAACATAGAACATAATGACAATTATTTATTGATCATTATGAATAAACAAAAAGTATTCTCTTCACCATTACATCAATTTTTACTGACAATACATATGCAGAATATAAATTCAAGACATTTATATTGCTTCATGTGAAATTTTTAAAAATTTCATAGAAATTCTGTTTATGTAAGCTACTGTGTACATAAATATCTTACATGAATTTATGTTGAATGTCTGCTAAATGTATATTAAAGTGCTAAGAGAATAAAAATCAGTGATAAAACAGTATTTTTAATAATCAAAGTACAAGTTGAATTCATGTGTTTTAATTATTTAAATAATATTAAGATTTCAACTTCAGATAAGTGCCATTCTTATCTCTAGAGTCAAACCAAATTTCAGTCATGGTTGCCTTAAGGTTGCTTGACAAATAAATATATAATTTTCACTGAACTATAACAATCATTTATGCTAGACATGAACAATGGTATGTTTATACATAGTTCCACTGTTTGTAATGTCCTATTTATAAAATTAGATTGTAAAGATCAACTGTTTTGTTTTGTTTTTGTTTTTGTTTTTTAGGAATGGTAAACTCATTGAAGAAAATGAAAAGTATAGTTTAAAGGGCAGTAACACAGAACTCACTGTCAGGAACATAATCAATAAAGATGGGGGCTCTTATGTCTGCAAAGCCACAAATAAGGCAGGAGAAGATCAAAAGCAGGCCTTCCTTCAAGTCTTTGGTAAGTATCACAGTGCTGTGGTGATAATGCAATATCCATCCGGAGGGAAGTAAGTTAGAGCCAGCCTTTACTCTGCTATTGGAAGCTGTAACTTGCCATAGACAAAACCTCTTTCCTCATCTCAACAACATTCTTTAAATAATGCAAGCTTTGACAAAATTGTCTTAAGAATTAGATGGGGGGGTGGCAAGATGGCGGCACCGGGAGAACACTGTGTCTGAGAAGAAGGACAACACTCTCCATGCAGCAATCAGGAGACTGAACTCTGGGCCCTAAAACTACAGCTATCGTGTTTCCCAGGTGAGGGAAGGCTCCCACAGCATGAGCATGGGAATCGGTCGGGTCCACTCTCAGGCCACCCACCCAGAACCTGGTAGAGATCTCGGGTAACGCGGGCTTTGGGTCTCCAGGCTGGAGCCACAAGCCTGCATGTCCCGATCACTTTCCCAGGCTGATTGGTGGGCACAAGAGTGCCTGAGACTGAGAGTCCCAGTCGCAAGAAAACACCACGGGGAAGGAAAGTTATGAGACTGATCACAGGTCACCCAGTCTTTCCCTGGAAGGTCTCGCTGACCCTGGGTACCCACCTCCATCACAACTGAGCTCCCTCCCTGCGCGGAAAGCAGCTGCTGCACGCCCAGGTCACAATCCCTACTCCCTCTTCGGAGGAGGCAGGAGGCGTCCAGCAGAATCTGTCACAAACCACATTGTCTGTACCCCAACCCGAGATCGGGGCTGAGAAAACCCAATCCTTTCGGGCACTCCCCCAAACGCCACCATAACCCTGCCGCAGCGGAGCAGAAGGATAAAGAGGCACACAGCAGCTTCACAGTGCCGGAACTCCAGTGCTGCCGGCTGCTCCTAGCAAACAAACTACAGCTCAGAATCTGGGACTGTGGTCATTCTACACGTCCTGAGACTCTCCTGAGTCCAGCACTAATAAGGTCTAGCACCAAGTCCTAACACTAGAGGCCCCCCGACCCCTGGCAGAGAAACCCAAGCTCTGGATCTGAGGACATTCAAACCTACCTGGTACTCTCTCAGAATCAGCAAACATAGGTTCTACCACCAGGCTGCTTCTGACAGAGAGATCTGGAACCAGGATCTGGGATTGAGAACACTCAACCTAACTCTTTCCCATGCTACCCCGGGACCAGTCAACATAACTCCTCCTGGCAAAGGGAAAGGACAAAGAGGCAGCACACAGGAAAGGTGTACACCGAGTCCTGTGGCCACAGTGTCACAGAGCTGACTGTTAGCCTACCCTGCACTTCTGCAGCAGGACCAAATCAGAGAGTAGAGAGCAAGGAGAACCCCTGTGCATTCCAACTGGCCCTGCAAGAGAGTGAGTGAGACTTCTTAGGAGAGTTTGCCCCAGACCCAGGGCCTCTCCACAGAAGCAACCAGACAAGATCCCTGCCACCCACACCCCTAGTATGGGCATCATAGGGATTCTTGGGAAAGTGATCCCAACGTTGAAGCCTCTGCCTTGTGAGTCCACCAGTATAATCCAGGAAAACAATCCCTGAATCTCAGACAGAACAGCATAATAGTGGCCTGCAGGCCACTGCAATAGTCAGAGAATACGCACATGCACACTGAGCCCACTAAAAGCACATGCGAATAGCACCAGCATCGCAGTCCTTACTTAGGCAAAACTGAAACCACAACGCACAATCCCAAACAAGTGAACCTCTTTCATCTCCTGAAAAAACAGTCCAGAAAACAGGAAGAGACGATCATAGCCTGAACTACAAACTTGAGGAACAAACAGTGAGGGTTATAAATAACCAGATGGCTAGAGGCAGATGTAAGAATACACCCAACAAAAATCAGGACAAAATGACCACACCAGCAACCCCAGAAAACAATGGACACTTCAATTAACTAGATATACAAGAAAATGACCTCAAAACTATGTTTCTCCAGCTATCAGAGGCCCATAAAGATGAAGTGAACAAAGCCCTCAGAGAAATAGCCAAAGAAATAGAGATGAACCAAGAGGAAACGAATAGAGCTCTCAGAGAAATGACCACGAAAATTGACGCAAACAAAGAAGAAATGAACAAAGCTCTCAAAGAAATGTCCACACAAAGGAAGGCAAATAAAGAAGAAATAAACAAAGCTCTCATAGAAATACAGGCAATTTTAGCAAAAGAAATAGAGGCACAATTAGTGATACATAGAGAGGAAACAGACAAAAAAATAGAAGCTGTCATTGAAAAGCAGGATATCACATTCAAAGAGCTGAAGGAAATGGTGCAAGACACGAAAACAGAATTAGAATCAATAAAGAAAACACAAATAGAGAAACACCAGGAGCTGGAGAACATAGAGAAAAGATCGGGAACTACAAAGGTAAGCATCACCAACAGAATACAAGAGATGGAAGAAAGAATCTCAGGAGCCGAAGATACACTTGCGGAAATTGACACGTCTCTCAAAGAAAAAATAAAATCAGAAAAGTTAGAAACACAAAACATCCAAGAAATCAAGGACACCATGGAAAGACAAAATCTAAGAATAATAGGAGTAGGAGAAAAAGAAGACATCAGGCTCAAAGGTCCGGAAAATATTTTCAAGAAAATTATAGAAGAAAACTTTCCCAACTTAAAGAAGGAGATGGCCATAAACATACAAGAGGCCTACAGAACACCAAGTAGACTAGACCAGAAAAGAAATTCTTCACGTCACATCATAGTCAAAACACTGAACCTACAAAACAAAGACAAAATTCTAAAAGCAAGTAATTCTAAAAGCAAGGCCAAGTAACATATGAAGGTAGACCTATCAGAATCACACCAGATTTCTCAACAGAAACTATGAAAGCCAGAAGGGCCTGGACAGAAATCATACAGTCCTTAAGGGACCACAGATTCCAACCCAGACTACTATACCCAGCAAAACTTTCAATCAACATAGACGAAGAATTCAAAATAATCCATGACAAAACCAAACTTAAACAATATCTACATAGTAACCTAGCTTTACAGAAGTTACTAGAAGGGAAACTCCAAACCAAAGAAAATAACTACATCTAAGGAAACAGAGGAAATAGATAACTACACAACAAAAAACCCAAAAGAATACAAGCAATGAAACTCAGTGACACCACCAACCCCACATCAAATGTAAGCAAAAATTGTTGGTCACTAGTATCTATCAACATCAACAATCTCAACTCCCCAATAAAAAGACACAGACTAACAGAATGGTTGCGGAAACAGGATCCAACATTCTGTTGCATCCAAGAAACATACCTATGCAACAAAGATTAAAAACTACCTCAGAGTAAAGGGCTGGAAAAAAATGTTTTTCAAGCAAATGGTTCCAGAAAATAAGCTGGAGTAGCCATCCTAATATCTAATAAAATAGACTTTCAACCCAAGTTAATCAAAAAAGAAAAGGAGGGCCACTATATTCTCATCAAAGGAAAAATCCACCAAGAGGACATCACAATTTTGAATATCTATGCCCCAAATACAAGAGCACCTACATTTGTAAATGAAATAATATTAAAGCTTAAATCACACATTGATCCTAATACCATAATAGTGGGAGACTTCAACACTCCACTCTCACCAAGGGACAGATCAACTAGACAGAAAACAAATAAGGAAATAAAACACTTACAGAGTCCCTAAATCAAATGGACCTAGTAGACATCTACAGATCTTTTCATCCAAACTCAAAAGAGTATACCTTCTTTTCAGCACCACATGGAACCTTCTCCAAAATAGACCATAAAGTTGGTCATAAGGCAAGCCTCAACAGATACAAAAAGATTGAAATAATCCCTTGTATTCTATCTGACCACCATGGACTAAAGCTGGACCTCAACAACAACAGAAATAACAAAAAGCCGACACACATATGGAAACTGAACAACTTGTTACTCAATGAAAGCTGGGTTAAGGAAGAAATAAAGAAAGAAATTAAAGACTTCCTAGAATTCAATGAAAATGAAGGCACAACATACCCAAATTCATGGGACACATTGAAAGCAGTGCTCAGAGGAAAATTTATAGCACTAAGTGCCTGCAAGAAGAAATTTGTAACATCATATACAAACAACTTAATGGCCCAACTGAAAACCCTAGAAAAAAAAGAAGCAGATACATCCAAGAGGAGCAGATGGGCTGGAAATAATGAAACTCAGGGCTGAAATCAATCAATTAGAAATAAATAAAACTATTCAAAGAATCAATGAAACAAAAAGCTGGTCCTTTGAGAAAATCAACAAGATAGACAAACCCTTAGCCAAACTAACTAAAAAGCACAGAGAAGCTATCCAAATCAGCAAAATCAGAAATGAAAAGGGTGACATAACTACAGACACTGAGGAAATTCAAACAATCATTAAGTCATATTACAAAAGCCTATATGCCACAAAATTTGAAAACCTAAATGAAATGTACAATTTTTTCGATAGACTCCTTCTTCCAACATTAAGAAAAGATCAGGTAGAAAGACTGAATACCCCTATATCCCCCAAGGAAAGTGAAGGAGTCATTCACAGTCTCCCCTCCAAAAGAAGCCCTGGGCCCGATGGTTTCAGTGCGGAATTCTACCAGACCTTCAAAGAAGTGCTAACACCAATTCTCCTCAAACTATTCCACAAAATAAAAATAGAAGGTACATTACCAAACTCATTCTATGAAGCGACAGTCACCCTGATACCTAAACCACACAAAGCCCCAACAAAAAAAGAGAACTTCAGACCTATCTCTCTTATGAACATTGACGCAAAAATACAATGCAAACCGAATCCAAGAACACATCAAAGATATCATCCACCATGACCAAGTAGGCTTCATCTCAGGCATGTAAGGGTGGTTCAACATACGGAAATCCATCAATGTAATCCACTACATAAACAAACTGAAGAAAAAAAACCACATGATCATCTCCTTAGATGCTGAAAAAGCATTTGACAAAGTCCAACACCCATTCATGTTTAAAGTCTTGGAGAGATCAGGGATACAAGGCACATATCTAAACATAGTAAAGGCAATCTACAGCAAGCCTATAGCCAACATCAAACTCAATGGAGAGAAACTTAAATCAATCCCACTGAAATCAAGGACAAGACAAGGCTGCCCACTCTCTCCCTACCTCTTCAACGTAGTACTTGAAGTCCTAGCCAGAGCAATAAGACAACTAAAGGAGATCAAGGGGATACAAATTGGAAAGGAAGAGGTCAAAGTGTCACTATTTGCAGATGATATGATAGTATATATGAGCGACCCCAGAAATTCAACCAGAGAACTCCTCCAGCTGATAAACACGTTCAGCAAAGTGGCAGGATACAAAATCAACTCAAAAAAAACAGAAGCCCTCCTGTATACCAAAGACAAAAGGGCCGAGAAAGAAATTAGGGAAACAACACCCTTCACAATAGCCACTAATAACATAAAGTACCTTGGGGTGACACTAACCAAGCAAGTGAAAGACCTGTTTGAGAAAAACTTTAAGTCTCTGAAGAAAGAAATTGAAGAAGATATCAGAAGATGGAAAGATCTCCCGTGCTCATGGATTGGTAGGATTAACATTGTGAAAATGCCTATCCTGCCAAAAGCAATCTACAGATTGAATGCAATTCCCATCAAAATACCAACTCAATTCTTTACAGACTTGAAAAAAAGATTCTCAGCTTCATATGGAGAAACAAAAAACCCAGAATCTCCAAAACAATTCTGTACAACAACAGATCATCTGGAGGTATATCCATCCCCTATATCAAGCTGTACTACAGAGCAATAGTAATAAAAACTGCATGTTATTGGCATAAAAACAGAAAGGACGATCAGTGGAACTGAATAGAAGACCCAGAAATAAACCCACATACCCATGAATACTCTTTTTTTTTACAAAGAAGCCAAAATCATTCAATGGAAAAAAGACAGCATCTTCAACAAATGGTGCTGGTCCAACTGGATGTCTACATGCAGAAAAATGAAAATAGATCCATATTCATCACCCTGCACAAAACTAAAGTCCAAGTGGATCAAAGACCTCAACATAAAACCAGATACTCTAAATCTGTTAGAAGAAAGAGTGGGGAACAGCCTAGAACTCATTGGCACAGGAGACAACTTCCTGAACAGAACACCAACAGCACAGGCTCTAAGAGCAACAATCAATAAATGGGACCTCATGAAACGGCAAAGCTTCTATAAAGCAAAGGACACCGTCATCAAAACAAAATGACTGCCTACAGATTGGGAAAGAATCTTCACTAACCCTTTATCTGACAGAGGAATAATATCCAGTATATACAAAGAACTAGAGAAGCTGAAAAGCAGCAAACCAAGTAATCCAATTAAAAAATGGCGAATAGAGCTAAACAGAGAATTCTGGACAGAGGAATATCAAATGGCAGAGAAACACTTAAATAAATGTTCAACCTCATTAGCCATCAGGGAAATGCAAATCAAAACTACCCTGAGATTTTAACTCACACCCATTAGAATGGCCAAGATGAAAAACTCAAGTGACAACACATGTTGGAGAGGTTGTGGAGAAAGGGGAACCCTCCTCCACTGCTGGTGGGAATGTAAACTGGTTCAACCACTCTGGAAATCTATCTGGCGCTTTCTAAGACAATTAGGAATAGTGCTTCCTCAACACCCAGCTATACCACTGCTAGGTATATACCCTAAGTTTGCTCAAGTACACAAAAGGGATATTTGCTCAACCATGTTTATAGCAGCTTTATTTGTAATAACCAGAACCTGGAAACAACCCAGTTGTCCATCAATGGAGGAATGGGTACAGAAATTGTGGTATTTTTACACAATGGAATACTACTCAGCAATCAAAAAGGAGGAAATCATGAAATTTGCAGGCAAATGGTGGGATCTAGAAAAGATCATCCTGAGTGAAATATCCCAGAAGGAGAAAGACAAACACAGTATATACTCACTTATATAGACCTATGAGATATGATAAACATAATGAAATCTACACACCTAAAAAAAATAATCAAGAGAGCGGACATGGGGTAAGATGATCAATCCTTGTTTAGAAAGACAGATGGGATGTGCATTGAATGTATGACAGGAGTCTACTGAGGGCATCTGAAAGACTCTAACTAGCAGTGTTTTCAAAGCAGATGCAAAGACTCATGACCAAACCTTCGGCAGAGTACAGGGAATCATATGAAAGAAGGAGAGTTAGTATGATGGGGAAAGGATAGGAACTCCACAAGGACCAAATATATCTGGGCACAGGGTCTTTTCTGAGACTGACATTCAACCAAGCACCATGTATGGATATAACCTAGAACCTCTGCTCAGATGTAGCCTGTGGTAGCTCAGTAACCAATTGGTTTCCTATAGTAAGGGGAACAAGGAGTATTTCTAACAGGAACTCAATGCCTGGCTCTTTGACCTCCCCACCCCCCAAAGGAAGAGCAGTCCTGTTAGGCCACAGAGGAGGGCTTTGCAACCAGTCCTGAAGATATCTGATAAAACAGAATCGGATGAATGTGGAGGAGGTCCCCCCCTTATCAGTGGACTTGGAAAGGGGCAGGGTGGAGATGAGGGAGGAAGGTTGGGATTGGGAGGGAATGAGGGAGTGGGATACAGCTGGGATACAGAGTTAAAAAATGTAACTGATAAGAAAAAATAAAATTAAAAAAAGAAAAAACAAAATACAAAAATACCCCCAAACAATAAAAAAAAAAGAATTAGAATAGTATTCAAATTTTCATTGGATATTGACTGATTCATAACATAGTAAACATAAGTTATTTACATTTTCCCCAATGAGCTGTATGATAGACATTTCAGAACATTTATGCTCACAAATAGTTAATGGACACATGTTGGGACTGATTTTCTATTTGGCACTTTCAAAATTTCTCATGAGTAAGGGTGTAATTTAAAAATGTTTCCCTGTAGCCATAATCTGTATCTTACCATATTCAAAAGACAATAGAAAAGCATCCTCCACATTGAAAAGAGACATATTATCTTCTTTAGGCATCTTTCTGAGCACATACAATAGTGCAGAGAATCAATTTTACTCTCACTATTTTAATAACAGATACAATTGCTTAAGAACTGTAACATCTAAAGATAAACAAGTTTCCAGTTGAAATGAGCTGGCTCCTTGGTTTCAAACCCTGGCTACTTCTTACAAAAGGCTATGGTTCTATTCCTTGTACCCAGGAGGTAGCAGACTGCCATCTGCAATTCTAGTTCTATTGGACCTAATGCCTCCTTCTGGCCTCCCTAATTACTGCATGAACATTGTATGCATACATAAACACAGAGAAGACACCAGTACATATAAGAATAAATGCAATATGCCTATTAAAAAATTAAATACATAGCTAAAATGTAATTACTTTACCCTACTTTATATATGTTATAATTAAATGTTGTCAAGATAAAAACTAGGAAAATGGCAGATGGGAAATACGTGGTTTAGAAGGGTACTTGTTAATACTAGCAACTTAAAATATTTTCCTTACTTTGACAACAATATGAATAAAAGGCTTTCTGTCCATTTTATAAGGAATTATGTTTTTATTCTGGTTTATGTGAATTTAAAATAATTACTATGGTGAATGTATAAAAACCTTGTTATTTACAATTGTTCTCCCCTCTTATTTGCAATTTCTTGGTATTCTTAGAAAGTATGTTATAATTGCTGTGGAAGTAGTCATCTCTTAATATTCAAGTGTGGAACTGAAAGACAAATAGGAACTTCTAAGATGAATAGTAACCATTCTGATCCAATATCAACTGAATAAAATGTATACTTTTTTACAGTACAGCCTCATATATTACAACTTAAAAATGAGACAACATACGAGAATGGTCATGTCACACTCATTTGTGAAGCAGAGGGTGAGCCAGTTCCAGAAATCACATGGAAGAGAGCTGTGGATGGCGCCACATTTTCTGAGGGTGATAAGGTAACACTGCTGTTCTAACATAACCCATTCGTAAGTATAGAATTTACTCACTAACTTATATGAACCAAATAAATAATGTATCAAACCTACTGCTAGGTCACTTTAAAATGAATGTAGAGGAGCTAAGATAAATCATTTATTACCACCTGAAACATAATTTAGTAGATTACAAAGCCCTTGGGTTATTAGTATTATTCTTTGTGTGTGTGTGTGTGTGTGTGTAATTAAGATCACTTTATTGTGATGATCCTACACATCAAAGCTTTGCACAGGTGACTTGAGGAAGTCATTGAAGCACTCATTCTGCTGTCCCAAACTACATACCTCTGTCATAACTTTTTTATAATTATTTTTATTTTTATTAATTACAGTTTATTCACTTTGTTTCCCCCTGTACCTCACTCCCACCTCCCCTCCCATTCCCACACTCTTTCTTCCCCACCGGTGTCCCTCTCCCAGTCCACTAAAAAGGGAGGTCCTCCTCCCCTTTCCTCTGACCCTAGTATATCAGGTCTCATCAGGACAGGCTGCATTGTCTTCTTCTGTGGCCTGCTAAGGTTGCTCCCCCCTGAGGGGGAGATGATCAAAGAGCAGGCCAATCAGTTCATGTTAAAGACAGTCCCTGTCTGACAAATAAAACAATCAAACAAATAAAACAAACAAAAAGAATTAATGAAACCATGAACTTGTTTTTTGAGAAAATCAACAAGATAGACAAACCTTTAGCCAAACTAAGTAAAAGGCAGAGAGACACTATCCAAATTAACAAAATCAGAAATGAAAAGGGGGACATAACTACAGACACTGAGGAAATCCAAACAATAATTAGGACTTACTTCAAAAGTCTATATGCCACAAAATTTGAAAATCTAAATGAAATGGACAATTTTCTTGATCGATTCCACTTACCAAAGCTGAATCAAGACCAGGTAAATCAATTAAATAGTACTATATCCCCTAATGAAATAGAAGTGGTCATCAAAAGTCTCCCATCCAATAAAAGCCAAGGACCAGATGGTTTCAGCGCAAAATTCATCCAGACCTTCAAAGAAGAGCTAATTCCAATTCTCTTCAAACTATTCCACAAAATAGAAACAGAAGGAACACAGCCTAACTCATTCTATGAAGCCACAATCACCTTGGTACCTAAATTCACAAACACCCAACAAAGAAAGAGAATTTCAGGCCTATCTCCCTTATGAACATTGATGAACAAAAACACTCAACAAAATACTTGCAAACCGAATACAAAAACACATCAAAGATACCATCATTCTTAAAGCAGTTTCCATAGATGTTTGCTATATATACTGAATCTCTAAAAAAATTATTGCTTATTGCTAATTTAACTTTAATCCTTTCTGGATATTTAAATGAAGTTGTTAAAAACTGAGGTACTCATTTAGTCTTTAAAACTTAGAAATGTTTTATGCATAGACTTCTGAAATCAGGTAATTAAAACTAACAAAAACTAATCCAGACAAACAGATGCAGCATTTTGATCTAATTTCACTACAATGAGCTGAAGTTATGCAGAATTAAAATATTGTCATGTTTCCCACTCCATGAGTTTTTGTTGTTGCTACTTTTCATAATCACTCATTTTAAACTTTAAGTATACACAGGAAGCAGAAAAATAATGTAGAATCAGAAAAAATAGGGAGCGTAATAGTGACATTACTGGAATTGGTACCTAACTTCAATAAAAAATATGTAGGTAACATTATATGTATTGAATTAATTTAAGTGAATAACTACAAATGTTGTGTGCACGTAATAAAATGACTCGAAGCACTATGACCTACTAATATCATAGTAGGAAAATAAGGAATTATTTGGCCTACAGTACACTTTCTGCCCTTTCACTTGACCATGTTTTATTCAACATCATATTAGACTAATAATTTGATAAGGTGTCAGTTTTGTCTATTTCTCATTTAAAAGAATGAGTCCCCATATGTCACTTTTTTCTAGTGTTCTCTTAATGTCATTTTTTATAGCATTATATTCCTCTTTAGAAAATAATGATGTACATTTCTTAGGCTTAGTTTATATGTTCACTTAAAATATAAAAATGTAAAATGTGAATGGCCACCATTAATTTTTGGAAGCATTATAAAGTTTGCCCTAATATTTTTTTTTAAATCTCTAAAACAAAGGGCACAGTAAGCAAGCCTAAAATGAACTTATGTCCTCAAAAATCAATGAAAACATAATCAGATATCTAAAATGGAATTAGATTGTTTCGTTTTAGGAGATTTCTCTGAATGATTCAAGTGATTACTGTCATACCATAGCCCTCCTTAGATGATTCTTCATATGCCAAGTGCTCTCGTTTCTTACTAATTTCCTCACTAAATATTTTTTCTCCTCCATATTATCTCATACTCTTTGTTTGACTGACATTCCTGTACGTAAATATGAACATGGAGTAAATATTGTCTGTTATTTTAACAATAAGATATATTTTTTTCTAAAAGCTGTCCCCTATGCCATTTCACACTTATTACACAGTTTCTCTACAGCAGGTTGGAGAGGAGTATCTTACTTTCTACTTGAGAAGTACTATCACTCTCCAAAAAATTATGTTTTAAAACATAATTTAGCTCCAATTAAATAAACGTAATTTTAAAACAAATCCATACGTTAGACAAATAAATTAAATTAGTTGGTTATTATGAGACAATTTTCCAAAAGTGTTTTAAGTTTTCTAGCTGGCTTCGTAGGTATTAGTATGTCTTCTTTTCTGAAACTATTCTTAGTCTCTTTAACAGAACATTCACAAATTGAATAATTGAGCAGAACATTGTTTTTAGATTCTATCCTTGCTACATATACATGCTGAGCTTCGTCAATAACATTTGGATTATTTATGCTGACACTATTCATCATGATTTATATTAACAATCTATTTTAATAACAAAATGAAAAGTACATGGCAAGGCTCATTTCAATAATTTTTGTTTTACAGCTTATCTCATTACTCTTAGACCAAGTGAATTTTGATTACCAATAGTCTTTATCAAGTGTGACATCTATGCTGTGACTGAACATTGAATTTTGCAGTTTGGGTGTAGATTGAATCATTTCTGTTATGGAAACTGACATGACATTGAATTATCTAGGTGATTCACTAGGAGATATTGTGATAATCCAGATCCATATTCTTTACCTCTAAGTTAATTCAATATTTCTTGTTCACAACTAAGGAATATTTGATATATTTATTTGAAGCAATATGAGTATAAATTCAGGACACTTCTTTGAAATAGACTTTAAATTTTTAATTCTTTATCAAGATGAATTTTAATAACTAATTTTTTGAGAGGAAAGTATCATTAACAATGCTGTGTAAGGCCCTGATTGGGGCTTGGAAAATACAACACAAATTGTTCACAACAACCATGAGGAAAGCAATCAAGGCTTTGATAAAATTGCAAAAATCTATATGTAATAATGAATAAAGGTATTTGATCCATTATGTGTTTTACAATCATACTAATATTTTCTCCAACAACATGTAAAGTTATTCATCCTTTAAAATATTTAGAAAGATAATATCAAGAAACAGTCTTTACTTTGTTTTTTCACAGTTGACATAAGACAAAATTTATTAAGAGAAATATAGTAGTCCATGAATTATTGTTACATGAAGCTGAATGTATATTTCCTGAATTCCAAATTTTACAAATGTACCCAAAAGTGTTCTTGATAACGGAATTTTCCACTTCTAGTTATAGGGAAAAAATTCACAAAGATTATGGCTGTGGATAAGAACATGGTAGGAATGGTGACCTCGGTCCCTGGGTGGAAGGTTCTCATTGCAGTAATATGTCAGTTAATAAAGCGATTGAGCTGCAAATAGAAAACCTCAGTTCAGTTCACACAGAACATGGAAAAAGTGCCAAGTGCGATTGTCCGTGTCAGTAACCACGCTGTGGTTTATTATCACAGTGCCAGATAAGCAAGGCCATAACTGTGGCTTGCTGGCCAGCTAGCCTCTCATGAACAGTCAGTTCCAAAGTAGTCAGAGACACTACCTGAAAAAGAAACAATCAAGAGGGTAAAAACAAAAACAAACAAACAAAACCAAGCCCCAAACCAAGATGGGCTTCAGGCCTACACATACACATATCCACACACACAAGAGACAAAGAGAAGAGAGAAAAAGAAAGACATGCACATTTACACACACACATTCACAAAATAACACAAATAAGTGCGAAAAGTGTTTCTAATTTATATAATAACCGGTAAGATGTTATCTCACTTCTTACAGCCTTAAATAAGACTAGAATAGTCCAAGATAGGTTGTTTGAATAGTCCAGTGAAGAATAATATTTTTTAGCAATCCATGACCGCATATTTTTCAGTTGTTATTTTTTTATAGGCAAGAAGCTGTTTATAACTGATACCTTCTGAGTGTGAGAAAATGATTTTTTTCTCCAATGCCACTGGTATATGAACCAATCTGCAAGACATTATCATATAGTTGTCCAACACAAAATAAGATCTATAATTTTTGGTGGTGAATATTTCTGTTTAGTTTGTTTTATGGTTGTAGTACCCATTAGTTCTGGCCTGTGTATGAGAGAGAGAGTGAGAGAGAGAAAGGGAGAAAGACAGAAAGAGAGAGAAAGAGGCGCACATAAGAACATAAAATGGTCCTGTTTTATCAGGTATCTTCAGGATCATATGAATGGGGAGGAGGTCCCCCCTATCAGTGGACTTGGCAAGGGGCACGGTGGAGATGAGGGAGGGCGGGAGGGACTGGGAGGGAATGAGGGATCGGGACACGGCTGGGATACAGAGTTAATAAAATGTAACTGATAAGAAAAAAATAAAATTCAAAAAAAAAAAAAAGAACATAAAATGGTAGGTGGGTAGAGGTTTCTGGGAGGCTTGGGGGAGGAGGAGAATTTGGATAAAAATATGTTGCATGAAAAATATTCAAAGCAAAAGGCTATAAAAAAGAAATGACTCCAAACTCTGATGGCAAA